TCATTAATACTAGATGAGTATCGTATTTCGCAACTGATTGTTCCGCTAACAAACATTGAAAGCAATTCAGAGTTCAGTCGATTGTAAGTAGATATCGGTAAAATTAATAAAATATTTAGTTGCAAAATTTAATAACATGTAACGTACGAGTATGGATACTTTTAGTAACATTTTTTATTAATTATCGTTTATTAAGTGGAGTTCATTTTTTTATATTATTTGCAGATTATTTTCCTAACGTTTAAGTGTATTTTATTCATTTTAAACATTATCAATGTATACTTTTTTCAATCGAAAATCTTTGCTACATCGACTATGATATTCGCATATTTCAGTTAGGAATTAAAAGAATGATAACAAACAATACCTTTCAAGGTTTGCAATTTACGCAAAAACAACTATGCAATGATAAAACCGATAAGAACAGTAAAACATACAGAAAAAATAAGACTGACGCGGTTTTGAAGTCGGTCGAAAAAGGGTAGGTAAATGGCGGGCGGCGTAGTGGTTCGCCCACAGGCGACGCTAGTCCTATTATTATTTGTGGCAAAACAAATAAGGCGCGCCTGTCGTCCGACTCAGCTATGTGCAACGGCAACGAGGATCATGTTATGATTATACGCTCTGGAGCTTAACGTTACAGTATGCAACACGTGCTCGACTCAATGAATACACTCGGTAACACATAACCGCACAAGTCTGTTTCGAAATGAATCGCTCGAACCAGTAACTTTTATATCGACATGTTAAGTACGGTCCCGGTCACAATTGCAACATCTGTCACAATTCACGCTGTTGTTTTTGTACCGTCTACATTACATTTTACTAGTGAATACTACAATATTTCATACTCAATATTATAATAAATAACATTACGTTTACGGTCTAGACTTCAGGCTGAGCAACGTTTGTTTAATTAACTCTAGAATATTTTAAAAATTTAAAACGTTTTAAGCCTGCCACACTGGTTGTATAAACAATGAATATAAATGAAATAACTGGGCTATTTGTGTATTCAGTTTAAAATTGCGACGCGCAGCCAGCAATGAGCAGTCCGAGGCGACACGTGGGATAACACTACCGGCCGATAGCACAAAATAATCTCCTTAATGCGTAAAATAAACGCTAGCTGCAATGACGGCGACTGATTAAATTAATTACACTGTGAATTAATGGCGCATGTGAAACAGTAGAGTGACAATGTTTACTTTAAAATTGTATTCGTAGGTACCACTTGACTTAATTGTTTTTGATACTCACACTACATTAAAATAATGTCTGTAGCGATTGATCATTATTACAAAATAAAACAATAGTTTTACATACCTACCCTACCTACAATATTTGGGGAAGCCTGCGTGATTTTATTAAATCTGTTTTGGATGAAAAAATATTCAATAATTTTTATACTAGCTAGGCTACGCAGACTGGGTGGAATTTGCGTATTGATACTATCCTATCTTTACGTCACGCTTGCGTAGTTTGGCGGCTACGCAAAAGGCTTCAGTTGGAGTTGTTATTACAAGACAGTGACGGTTGCCATGCCTTATAATAAAATTATTACAATGCGATCACTCGTTTATTTGTCATTTTGAGGGTTGTGCTATTAGTATGTTCGCTATTGGCATAAAAATAACACACATACAATAGATTGAAACATTATATGTTTTTTTAAAGAAAATGCTCTTGGTATATTTTGGTTTAGGTTTATATAAAGTTGACAAGCATGGTGACTGACAGAGTGCACTGACCGTAACGTTGCTGTGATTAACGCGGGGATGACTAAACAATAATCATAACAAATTGAATATTGCAATTTAGTAGTTCTATTTCGTAATTACTTTTGTTTGTTATTTTGAATACTGACGGAACATTTTGTAAGCCTGGTTTAATGGCAGTAATAACTAAACACAGAGGGACAATTTTATTGCAGACAAATTAATGTCTTCTCGACTCTCACTGACTAACCCCCCCCCCCCGTTCTTTCTCCTGCTCCTGGTCGAGGTCATGGTAGCTTATTGCGCTTGACAAGCAAACCAGGTTAAACGTTGATCCTGATATTTGAATCCCAATTATGTTTATACTTAACTATGTATCTATCTATCAGCTGCTCGGCTCCATTTAGTCGTAGCGTGGTGTTTTAAAGCCTATATCACTCAGGAACATTGTATCTATCTATCAGTGGAAGAATTTTGGAAATCCGAGCAGCGGTTCCAAACATTACTTCCTACATACAAACTTACAAATTTTACCTCTCTTTATAATATTAGTAAAGATATTATTACGAAAACTCAAGAACATCGTCCTCGCTTTTTGATGTTTGTAAATTCATCAGAATCCCTCACTAATACCCATTTCTAGACCCACTTGCTCCGTGCACATAAGTATGTACACGACGTCGTCTTTCGTACATCCCAAGAGAAACAAAGTTGTTTACCATAATACCCTAGTAGTGCATCGTACCTGCTGTCGTTCTGCTTTAAGTCGCTTTACTAAGCAAAGAGAGATCGTGCCCGATACAGATAAACACGACTTGCCGCTTTCAGCTTCTTAATGGGTCCCTCTGAAGACTATACAAACTTTAAGTATGAAACAATTCAGGATATTAAAAGCCAAAAATGTTAGGACTTAATTAACATTTCGTTTCTATTTATATCTACATTTCTATTCAAAATTTAGCAGCATTTAACTTATATACCCTTATATAGTCCTTAAAAGTCATCTAATTTTATTTTAAAGTAACCAAGCCGGTTGGGTACTTTAGAAAACTCACAACATTTTCTGTCCCTTGAAAATGCTGGATTCTCAAGAAACGTAACCGCTTGCACACTATAACAGTTTGCTGACTAACAAGCAGACACCTCGAGCCGCTAACGCTTTGAATTTTATATTTCTGTCTCTTTATGAAGAAAAGGCAAATAAACGCATTGTAGACCCCAAGTTTTATAATCGCGCTATGTCATCGTACTTCTATATAAAACTTCCATTACTTGCTAACCTATCACACATTCTTAGTGTGAGTGGTTGTTTAAAACACATCTCGACACATAATTTTCAATTTTCTAGGTGGATTTACTGGCGTCTATTACACGAGATGATGAACGCTTTGTTCCTGTTTTAGGGTTAAAGAATAATTTGGCAAGCGTTACGCGGCGTACACAAGTATATTCTCCAATCTGTTGAGAACGGGCGCTTCCGCTGGGAGAAGGCAAGCGCCCCGCCTCGCCGCCGCCGTCGTCGCTCTAACATACACCCCACATTTATTTACACGACGCAGATTAATTCCACGTCATCCGACACATATCCACTGTAAGACCCAGCCATTCTCAATCATATCGCCATACAAAACACCAAGACAGATCTCTCGTGGCGACTCGCCTCGCTTCACTAATCAACGACTAATGAGCACTTATCTAAATGCACTCTTTTGTATACATCCAGCAGTTTCTTCTTGTATTGTTTATCTTGATAAACTTAGTTTAAAAGGTATCCGTGTTTGTTAGATTCATATTCAAAGATAAATCATTTTGTTTACTTACATTTAAATATGCACTGCTCGCGATTATGACCTCGTCATATTTGTTTTACGTGAGTCAAGGATTACTCTTTTATTTTATTTTATCGAAGGTGAGCCTACAGATAGATTATATATACAGTCTACAGATGTTAACCAATATTACAAATATTGTTAATATTTATAGAATAGACGGGTAGACGAGTAGTTTTATGTTATTTTGAAAAATGAAGCTTGAAGAATGAGGGTCGCATATTTAACTAGTAGGTATACACGATAGTGAAGTGAATACGGTATTCCAAGTTTTTATAATGTGATAGGTTGGCAAACTATCAGATTACCTGGTAAGCAATCCTATGTTCCCGCAAGAGAAAAGTTATGAATTCAAAAAAAAATAGGATTAGGAAGGGATGGGGGGAAAGGAATGATTCGATACCCTCGCCTACACGGAGAAACACAATGCAGTGATTGTTTCACGCCGATTTAATGTAAGGCCGTAGTATCACTCCACATGAGCCGACCCGTTCGTACGAAGCCGTGCTCCCCAACACTTTATATTAATTTCATGTACAAAACCAAGTCATAAAATAACTCACGAAATATATAGTATTAATAAAATTACATTTCAGTTTACTAGAACTTACTAGAATAGGATAGAACATTTTGAAAACCCGGTCCACCACCTCTTTTTCAGACTACTAGCTACTCTCGCGCGGTTTCACCCGCTGCTCGGCTCCATTTGATTGTAGCCTATAGCACTCAGGTACATTGTACCAGCGGTTCCAAAGATTACCCCCTACATACAAACTTACAAATTTTACCTCTTTATAATATTAGTATGGATGAAAACTTTTGTAACACGTAGTTGATTTTATACATATCACGCTTAGTAGGTATGTTAATTTTTTCTTTTTTGTTATGGCTATCCAAAGAGGTCTAATTATTACTATTAGAAACTTATTAGTTTATTAATTCCCAGTACAAATAACAACAGCTATTAGCTTATTCGGCCAGTAATATGGTTGACATTATGGCTTTTCCAGCCCACATTAAATCTGTTGGTAAACAATTAAGCATTACTTGTTTACTTTGGTTGGTACCTATACTGATAATGTATACAAATATACAGATGTATTTACTAGGTGTTGCCCGTAGTCTCATTTGCATTTGCAGATAAATATATGACCTTTTAAATATTCAGCTTCTTAGCTCCAGGCCCACAAAAAATGTCTCATAGAGCCAACAGCTACAGAGCTGGATAATGTACCGCAGCAACAACTTGAAGAAGGAGATGGCACGAGGTGGTTTTTAGTCAATATGAGTCTAACACTTCTAAGACGAAGAAGTCATTTGATGATTTCCTTACTTTAATTAAAAAACAAAAAATTAACATTGCTCCGTTGCTATATAATTTGTGAGTGAATATATTTCTATATATTGGCAATATATTTATTTATAAATTATCCAGAGCCAAGCGACAGCACGAATGGGTCGGCTCGACCGGAGTGATACCACGGCCTCACAGAAAACAGGCGTGGAACTGGTTACCGGAGGCCCAATCTATCCCCTTCTCTTCTCTTCTTCTCTTAATCTCCAAAACCCTAATTTCTTAAAGGTCGGCAACGCACTCGTAACTCCTCGGTTGCGGGTGTCCATGGGCGGCGCTGATTGCTTACCATCAGGTAATCCGTCTGCTCATTTGCCAACCTATGACACAAAAAAAATACAGCATTTTGTAGTATAGATAGTATCATTTTGGATAACATAATTTTACTTTCGTGTCAGTGTCGGTGATTCTTATTATTTTTGCTTATAAGCTTATTAATCAATAGTGACAAATCTCTTGAGAGAAAGCCTTTCTTCGTATCCTAACGTTTACATGACGATTTCGACGTTGATAATTATAGCAATTAATAATATAATTAGGCTAACCATACAATCACGTTCACAGTTCCCAAAGGATTAAAGATAGAATCGATTACGTAATTAATTATTATTAACATAATATTTAACGAAACATTTTACCTTATTTGTTATTCTTTTTACACAGCGTAGAACAACTTTCGATAATTTTATACACAAAGTAATGATATACTCGGAGAAGCCGTATACAAAAATTAATTACCATTGTTTTTAATGGTATAACGTCAGCAACCGAGCTGACGGATTACCTGATGGTTAGCAGTCGGCCTTGGCCACCCGTAACACCAAAGCAGTTACGAGTGCGTTGCCGGCCTTTTGGGGATAGGGGTTTCGGATATCAGGAATGGGAAGAGATAGGGGAAGGGGAGGGATTGGGCCTCCGGTAACCTCACTCACACGGCGAAACACAAAGCTGTGGGTTGTTTCACCTCGGTTTCTATTCAATACCAACTATTCATAAACACGCTTCGAGTTTGCTAGTACCTTTTACATCATCTAGTCAAATAAGATGTTCAGTTTTGTATATATGTGGGAAAAAAGGATTTAATTTAATAACAAGTAAGAAGTTTAATATGTTGTCATAAGATAGTCTATGGTCAGAAAATGACAATGAAGATTTGCTCTTGTTTGTTTAGAAGAAAAATATAGTTTATTTGAAGATTTCACTGCTGTTTTCCAAAAGAATATATATAGGTATATATTATTTTTAAGTATTTTTCTTTTCGAGGAATACAATTGTTGCTGTCACTGTCTTTCATAATTCCGCAGATAACTTCTATCAAACCATTGAAAAACCAGCTTTTAATGAAATAAATGAAATAATTCAGATGCTATTCCGCCAATTTGAATATACAAGACAGTTCGTAAAATAATACAATTTTGGTTTGCAATTAATTATTTTCATTCTAATTAAAATGCGTCCAACTACTTAATGTGATGATGATGATGATGTGTGACTGATTTGTTATAACGGACGGACAGACGTTATTTTGATTCGAAGATTAGATTTTGAGAAAAATGTTAGTATAAATATAATCGATTTTTTTTATATTAAAATTCGGAACTAAATATCTACAATGTGTCATTTTTCCCGTGCATGAAGAACAAAAAAAAGCAGAAAATAAAACTTTGACCTAATCTTATATTAAGATATGTGAATACAATATACTCGATATTTACACAGCAAAAATATATTTCTTATAATCTATACTTATGTAGTAGGTACTCCGCCTCATGAAAAATGGTTATCCCGCTTAGTATTTAGGATACGGTAAATATTATTCTTTCTTTCCAAGACAATCCGTGTCTTAGATTTATAGACTTATCAATCAAAAGTTTGTTCATTGTTTTCCCCAAACTTATTGCCAGGTCACGGAAAGATGTTTATTTATGACAACAATACAAAGAAATGAATTTGGAAGTTCTCATTTAAGAAGGTGTGCTTAATATTTTGTCGCCGTCTTCGGAGGCTGATTAATTTAATCCTTTTAGCAATAAAACACCCCCATTCCCGAACCTTAATTATTATATAAGATCGCTATAAAATCAACTGAATAGCTCTCCATTAACTGCATTAAAATTATGAATATCCAAAAATGTTTTTGAATTCATTACGAAAAGTTCGGTTTGGTGTATTATTGAAGAATATCCTTTGAAGGTATCGTTAATTAGGTTTAAAATTCAAAATTAACAAGTAATGTACTGAAGGAGAAGTTACTTTATTATATTTGCGAAGTTATTACGATCGATTTTTTCTTTAAAATACATTTTTGCTTGTGTAGATTTTCTTCACAGCTGTTGGAGCGTTAGCAAACATAATGTCACATACACATCTCATCCAGATCTGAAACAACAATTTGTGGATCTCATAAAGAGTTGTTATGATGTCATAAGAGGGAAATAAGCCCGCGAAACGTGGCACGACAGCCTTGTATACCTGATTTATGAACAATTGACAATGTTGTCATCTGTGTTTAGTATTTTAATATTATACAAATCATTTTAATATAAGACCTGGCTATCTATAATTCGGCAAGAATGATCCACAGCCTCATAGAAGACCGGCGTAAAATACAGCCTTGTTGTGCCGTGTGAATGTACTAAGAGGCCCAACCCTTCATCCTCTCCCCTGATCCATCCCCCCTAAATCTTCGAACCCCTAACCCCCGAAACGACGGCCTTCGGCAGCGCCGATTGCTTACCAACAGCTAATTCGCATTATCGTTTGCGTTGAAAGCTTTTTAATTTCCCGGAATCTAATATGGATTACAATGCAAAATGTTTACTTTTACTAGTACCATTATAGTTATAATAAATTTACAATTAAAACACTTGCACTTATTTACCTACTAAAAATATTTAAGTAAATAGGAAAAAGTGTTCTATAGTAAAAACAATCATTTGAACAGAAAAATAGGAAAAAGAAATCATTACTATTACTAATTTTCCAAAGGTTATAAACAAACAGGGCCCAAGCATTAAGGACATCTGTCGGGCCAACGTAAAAGAAAGTTTTCTTTGACCCGCGCCTATTTACGTTACAATAAAAACTAAGCCGTCATATTTCCTTCGTCAGAACCTTTTGCGTAGCAAAATAAAAGTCGAAACAACTAGCCACTGAATTTCAGGCTTATTTCGCAAAGCTAAACTTTTTGAAGGCGTTTATATTCAGTTATATCAAGTACAAATGCTGTTCTAAGAACCTTTTTAAAACTACTCTTCACGTGACCGCTTTGTACGAACTAACAAACTAAAAATGCCGAATAACATTTCCTCGTGTAGGGGCGGAATTGAATTTACTGTGTTCAACGTGACGATTAGCTGAGATATTTATATATAACATTCAATTATTACCTTTATTCTTGCGTCAGTAAATAATTCGAATTCAACTGTTCAACGAGGGAGTGAAATTATGTGTTAGGTTTCAACTCTAGATAGGTTTATCTATTCTTTAATTCTCATTATAATGTAGCACTTAAATATGAAAATACATTACAGAAAACTCACATAAACGAATCATATTTAAAAATAATTAACCGAACGTAAATAATCGTTTAACAAATAAAAAAACATAGATACATCACTACATAGTATGATCAATTTTCAATTTTCTTCAAAAAGCTTTGCAACGACTTTTTCTCTGTCCCTATGTATGTATCTTCAAAACCACGGAACGGATTTAGAAGCGGTTTTTAATAGATAGAGTGATTGAAGAAATCGGTTTTAATTTATTATAACATCCAAAGAAATTTAGTATCAGTATTGCATTCATGCGAAGGCGGGGCGGATTGCTAGTACTTAAGTAATAAAATAATCTACAAAGACAAAACCATTTCGTTCCGTGTTATTTGTGGTGAATTGCGTTTTCACACCACAAAGTATTTTGTTTGCATTTATTACTTGCTGAAGTATTATTTATTGTGCATATCTACATATATGTACGTCTGCAGCCAGCGCGCATTTCTCCGATTAAATGGCAAATGAGTATTTAGAACTATTAACATTGATACATGTATTTTTTATGTAATATACCGGCAAACGAGCAGACGGATTACCTGATAGTAAGCAATCAGCGCCGCCCATGGACACCAGGAAACACAACGGAGAAGTTACGAGTGCGTTGCCGACCTCTCAGGGATTAGGGTTTTGGAGATTAAGGGATCGGGGGAGGGGAAGGATTGGGCATCCGGTAACCTCACTCACATGGCGTTGTGTTTCATCGCTGTGCTTATGTCACGCCGGTTTTCTGTGGTATCACTCCGGTCGAGCCGACCCATTCGTGCCGAAGCATGGCTCTCCGACACTTACTTGTGTGCGTTGTATGTTTCATAAAGATTTTTATCTGCATAGACACTATTAATATTGTAACAAAACGTGACTTTTCATTTATGTTTGGAATAAAACCACATCTTAATAACAAAGCCGCTATCAATAATTGGCACTCAAAAAGAATTAACGTCAAAAGTTTCCTTGTTACCTTCTAATTAAAACTCACCAACATTTTATTTTTTCACCTAATTTTAACGTTTTACTTTTAAAAGTGCTTCTCAAACAAGACACGGAATAGGTTTCGTAAACTAACACCCATTTATTAAGTGTGTTTTTTACTGTGGAAACTTAATGGACTTATGTGAAAGAGAGGCTAATGTCAATCCAATTATGCGACACTAGCTTTTGCCCGCGACTTTGTTCGCGTGGAATAATGACTTCCTGCTGATTTTTTGTTTAAAAACTATCCTATGTCCTTTCTCAAGTGCCAAATTATGTCTGTACCAAATTTCACACAAATAGGTTCAGTTGTTTAGGCGTGAAAAAAAGACAGTCAGACAAGCAGATATACAGAGTGACTTTCGAATTTGTAATATTAGTACGAAAGTATGGATTACTCGTACTATAAAAAATGGGTTTGTTCAGTTATCTATGTCTGAAAATAAGTTGCTCCGGTACTTAAGTGGTCTCTTACAGAAGCTTTGTTGAGTTGAAGTCATATCCATTACAAGAAATAACTTCAATGCAGTTAAAACTTACATTTGTATTAGTTTCTTCTTGTTATAAAATTAAAACATACTCAAGTTACCTATTTATTTTTAAATTATTTTTCATTAAGTTTATCATCACATCCTCAGTCTATAAGTGCCCACTGCTGAACAAAGGCCTCTTCTCATACGGAGAAGGTTTGAGAATTAATCATCACGTTGCTCAAGGCTATATTTCCAGGTTTCCTCCCGACTTTTTCCTTCACCGTCTGTCATTGGTGTTTAAATAATCATAGAAAATTCATATAACTCGAAAAATGCACATTAGGTTGCCAGGTTTCGAAGCCACACTCATGAGATGTGAGCGCCTTAACCTCCGGCCAACCACACCACCTATGTTGTAAGGGATTTTACAAAAACAAAATAAAACCAGCACGTACCATTCTCAGTCCACGTAAATAAAATAATGACTACCAACTTCAGATTACATAAAATGCTTTTGTCTTTATCCCTGGGAACCTTCAGTCTAGTGAAGTCATATTCAAATGTGGGTTGAAAGCAAAGATATTCGAATAATTAACACAACTGACATATCAAATTTAGTATGAAAATGTACAACAGTTTAGACAACAAAGGCTTGATATTAATGACGGTGGAGGAGGCAGAGCTTACGAGTACAAACATAACATTTAATAGTTTTGTTTGAAGACTCTACAAATATTAAATCCACTATTGCATTACATTCGAAATGCCAGATGAGAAAATTTGTGTGTTTTAGGCGTTGAAAATAATATAAGCTGTACCTAAGAGTCCGAAGTTAATGGACGCTTTGTTATAATTTTCCACAAAAACTATTTACCAAGTCTAAGTTTAAGACTTCACCTAGAATATCGCATGTGCCTTCAATAATCTGCCTTACTACTAGTAGTAATACGGGTGAAGCTGCTAGCAACAGCTTGTCTTTAAGCTACTAATAACTGAGGCTGTCTTGAGGACTCGTTGCGGAGGGCATACAAATATCTGCTAAGACCCAGACGATTAATTATTCAGTTCTTACCCTGGTCTAATTGAGAATACGCTAGAAAAGGAAAGTAAGAAAAAACAGTCTAGTTTGCTTAAATGATTGAATAAAATGGTATTATCTTCTTAAAAATGAAGGAGACTTGTAAAATTTCAATTGCTATCTATTGACTGCTTATGTAGGAATTTGTCATAGGAACTCTGACTTAAATAAAATACAGTACACGATAGAACTGCAAAAACAACAGAATCATAGTTAATGAAATTTGAAAATAATATTCACTATGGAAGCTCTAACCGCCAATGTCATATCGATAAAGCAAAGGTTCACATTTTATCGAGTATGGAATATCAGATCCCTAAAAATAATAACGATTTGTTGCAAAGCTGGACCAATAAATCCATATTTTTCTCCAGCCGGACTAAAGCTATAAATTTCATACCGGAATACTATAGCCGCGTATGCTTGCAAAACAATAAATTGCGAACGCCGGCCGCACACTCTAGTCATATTCATAAACCAATGAACGACTAAAGGTTTTATTTAATCATTAGCATTTCAGACCGTAACGCGTCCATTTTATTGCTCTTTAATTATAATGCGCCGTGCTGAATTTGAATTTGGAATTATCTCTAATTTATTTTAAACAAGCTTTTGTTGTTACGCTGGTTTTAAACCTGGCCTTATACAAAAACATTTAACATATTATTTAAAAAAAATGGCATTTTTTAATATAAATAATACTCTATAACACAATAGATTTTGTACAATATTTTTAATATAGATGTTAACTGTCATATTTTGTTTCTTCCACAGGTGTAGTATTCGATCAAAATACCGAAGAAATCCAGAATGCTTTCAAGTTTGCGATGTTGCAACACTCCAATAATGCGAACAAATCCAACCTGGACTTCCAGCTCTACGTTGATATCATCAACACGGCCGACGCCTTCAAACTGTCACGACTTAGTAAGTGCATTTTCCTCATTTTTAGATAATACGCTAAATGGAATTGCAATCACTCCGTGAATTGAGGAAATTTCAATTTTCTCAGAGGATTCCATTATAAAAGGCTCAAAGCTATCTACTCCTGATTGCTCAACTTTTAACAAGGTCTGACGAATCGTTACTTATTGCTACGAAAAACTTCTAAGCAAATATCTTTTTCGCTTTAAAGTGAGTTAGTAAACTATTTCGTGCATATTACTGTAAACGGTCACGATAAATAAAAACTTTTTAGTGTAAGACATACAATATTCTTAACATTATAATATTCATAGTCGTCTTTAATATGAAATCGATACTTGTAAATGATTAAAGTCTAAGGAAAAAGAAACAGTTAAGTATTATTTAATTTATTTTTTCATCAGCAGTTTATTGATAAGAAATAAATTTATTATTACTACAACTGAAGGCTGTGTGCATTAATTAGTTTCATTACGCTTCTTCAATGAGATTAATTGTTCCGTTGCTTCACTTTAAATGCAACCGTTTTATGTTAATGCTTTTTTAAAACGAACGTTGAACGGGAGATTAGTTAATTTTAGCGTTGACAAGCCTTTCAGAAACCGGGTGTAAGTAACGGACTTAAATTTTTCAGATTTTTTTGTTATGTGATAGTTACCTGATGGAAAGCAATCGGCGCCATTCATAAACACTTGTAACAACGGAACAGTATATAGTTATACGGATTAGGGATTCGAGATTTTGGGATTGGAGGAGGGAAGGAACCTCCAGTAACCTGTGGTTGTTTCATGCCGGTTTTCTGTGAGCCGTGGTATCACTACAGTTGATCCGAAGCATGGCTCTCCCACAGTGCCTATTTTTTTAACAAGTTGGTGACCTATTTTAGAAAATGTCTACTTCCGAGTTATAGTTAGGTGTGACGAGTAGACTACAACTTGACGCCTCCGGTATTACTTGTAACACTGGTTAGTTACTGTAGTTTTGATTGAAGGACACTTCAATCTCAAGTCGGCTTCTGAATGGATTAATAATTCTGCCTTTAATTAGTGTAATTGGCAATAATTTATTAATCTAAACAAAATCAGGTATACGTGGTGACGCATGGAACTATTTTATCGTAGGAAAAAGCTAGAATATTATTATGAAATCAGAAAATTAACGAATATAGAAGGTTTACGAAACTCAGTACTCTCAAAGTTTCGGAGTGCAATAATTGAATATTTCGTAGAGAAAACCACTCTTCTTTTACTAGACTTCGAGATAAGTTCGAGGAGTTTCTTCAAAACAACTGTTGGAGCCGTCAATACTCGTTATAACTAATATACAAAAATGTTTTCTCCATCCGCTAGCGTGTTGTGGTCGTTCGGTCACCAGAAATATGTAACTAACAGATTATTTCAGGAAAAAGCTACTGCGAAAATCATGACGATCGGATGACCCATTGGTTCCCAAAAATTGAAACATATATTTTTACCAATTTGATAATTTAGCGAATAATAAATAGATTTACTGGATAACTAAGAACTGGGGGTAACCATGACATTAAAAGTAAGACTGTTTTAATCTTACTTCAGTCTGGGTACAGACTGGGACAGAGCTAGATAACTTGTATAGCTCTTTCTCTTACCCACACTGAAGTAAGTGGGAAGTATTTTGTTTGTTTTAAAAAGAATACAATGTTCTCTTATAAAAATTTGATACATAAAATCTCATTGTGATTTCAACGTTAATAAGACAAATATTTAACATCTGTTTTTATACAAAAATAATGAACATTTGTTTGCCGTATAATTATAAGACAAAGAGTTTCACTCAGTCGACATCGACAAGATAAACAGCGAAGTTTCAAGTCAAGAAATTAAGTTTGTATTTTGTGGTGTCCTCCTAGACACAGAGCTCTCATTTGAATGCAAGACCTTCCTCTCTTTTTATTTCGCCTCGTCACGCGACGCTGATCAAAACACTTTTGAGCGGCGCTGCGTGAATTTTCGAAGCAACCGTTTGTAGAACACATTTTTGAGGTAAAACTACGACCAGGAACTGTGAAAAAATGTTGATCTAACAGATCAATTTGATTTCGTTAAAATAAAAAGCAAATATGGTGTAACGTATAAAGCTTGATCATTTACCTATTTCCAAATATTCTTATTACTAAAATAACGTCAAGGTAAAAGCTTCGGATGAATAATGTGGGTGAGGAAAGCGTAGTGAAAATGGTTCTTTAATAAAGTGTTAAGTGGATACTTGTTCAAAATTATGCGCATACATTATTTTTGGGTCCAAGAATACACACTACGCTACGAACAGTGTAGATTTACAAAAGACATGCGAAACTTCATCATTACTTTTTATACATTGTTTACAGCTTAAAACAATGGGGTGTTAAGCATTAATATTGCAAATAAATTTAAAAAAATACCTTAACTTTTTCTAATCTTAGTCTAATCTTAGTTTTCTAAGGCCATATTCAATTTAAGCTCTTGTGTGTATAAAGCATAATCCACTATTTATTCGACCAAGCCAAATAATGTTTGTCGTAATATTGTGTGGTAGACAAGATATGATCGACACAATACAGAAAGATTTCAATTTATATTGTCACAACAACAAATGATTATGATCGCATTTTATTCAGAGCTATGAACGGCCACAAAAACAGTTGATCAGAACACCTACATAAAATCAGCTTTTTTTTGTGTGGGGAAAAGGCAAATTCTCCTGCTTTAGGTCGAGGCCGCGGCACCTTATAGCTCTAGCCCCACAAACCCAGCTGAACATATTTTATTATTTTGTTTATTAAAGCTCTTGTAAATGCTCTATTTTACCTGTGACGGGTACACAAACCTGTGATACTTGAGCCATTGGGTATGTTAATATAATTTATTATTTTCTGACAAATGAACGCATACAGAAATTTCTGGGTGGGATGAGAGGAAGAACCAGACTCTCACGGATGAAAATCCACCCCGTTCCCTGTCCTGCGGTCGGAGACAGTCGCTGCTTCCACTCCGCCATGAGGTCACACCGGAGCTCATCTCGCCACACGCGATTCACAAATCTGGCGTGGCAGCAATCAACCCTAGGCTTACAATATTGAGATGATTTTATAGAAAATCTGTGTATGCCTACCTCTTGAACCACAAGCGTGTTCAATTGCACAGGCAAATCGGTATTTTGATAGCATTGATGGAACAAAGGGGATTATTTTGAAATTTACCAATGAACAGTAATAGTTTTTGCGAGGAAATCCGTAAAATACATAACAATATAACGCCTCATTTTCCTGAAATGCTAAGTAGAATACTTACTATAAGATATAAAGTACACATCCATATTTTCTAGGTAATATTATTATTTGCCTGCCGCGTGATGTGAAGCTGTTAAGTACCGAAAATTTCCAGAAAAACGTATAACGTTTTAGCTTTAATATAATCGTAGGTATTAACTTGATACGAGTGTTTAGGTATTTATAGAGTTCAATATGTGATATTTCATTTGATATTGGTATATTACTTTTCCTAACCTTTGATATATTACTATCGTCACACTTATCTTTCAATTGGGGTAGGTTCACAATGGAACATGTTATTGTCATAGTCTTTTGCGAATTTACAATTAAGTATCAACTTTTTTAAGGTACAACTCTACAAGGAGGTCTTATATTATTGCCTCGTTCAGTTATTTCTCCAATTTACTAAATTATATATATTTTTATTATAAATAAGCTATTTGCTTCACGGTTCATTATGCACAGTTTAATTTAAACAATAATTTGTTGAGTTAATTTATTGAGTATTGGTATAGGCCTCCACAAAGTTTCTTTATAGCATATGCTACGTAATCGTAGTCATCTTCTCATCTGGTTAGTGGTTTTCCTCGACTTCTCTTAGCCCTTCGATCTCGAAACAGTGTTTCTTGCGCAATCCATATCTGGGCCTTGATTCTGATATTACAATAGTGTCAGAATAGTAGAACATTGGTTTCAAAATTGTTGATTTTGAAGTTTGGTAATCTACTAACACGATAGCGTCATTATGACTTTCCAATGCCACTTCATTGAAATAATTCTTTAGAACGGTAATCTCGTACATAATGACAAATGAATATTTGACATAATGCGGTGAGTTATTGTTTATAATTCGTTACAAGACATCTCGTACTATAATTCTGTTACGAAATCGCCGAACGCCAATGATCAGCCATTTTGAATTAACAGATTAAGAACTTTTAGTAAAATGACAATGGAATCGTGTAAGAATGACAACACTTTGAAAATAGTAGACTCGGGCCCCTCGTCTGTACATCTTGCGATGTTTGTAACTATTACAATGAGAAGATTTAATTTATTATCATAAAATTTTTAACTAATAGAAATGTAGATACGGTTCAAAAATATTTAGACAATTATGTAATGAAACCCATTGTATAGGGTCTGAACCTTTTACCAAAGGCGCGTATATTTTTAGTTCTAGTATGTAATAAGAATTTTACAATAAAACAAATGAAAAGAGACTGTAGTTTTAGTTATTCTAATAAAAAATAGTGTTTTGTTTAATACATTTTAATAGTCTGTACTCACTAAGGGCATTTTGTTAAGAAAAATAAATACAAAATACTCACTACATATTTAATATCCGATGCATTCTCAGTTCACTTTTTAAGGCAAACTAGGTACGGACAGTAGTATTCCATTCATAACTCAAATGTATAAATGAGCATATTTTTTTCTATAAAAGAAATATTCAGTGAGTTCCTCATTCACCCTCATATTTGCTGCTTTATCAATACGAATAGGTATAAATATAAGTTTTTATTTCTGACATGGCGTTGTTTACATCGATGTATACAACAATATAGATCTTTATTGTGAGGGGAGAGTTATTAAATGACTTCTCCTGCCTAGGGTGGGGCTGGAGAGAGTGTCAGACTCTTACTGACTAAAATCCCCCCTTCTCCAGCTTTAGACCGAGGAAGCGGTACCTTGGCCCTGTTTAGCTGAACGCATGCGGAGCGCTACGCGCCGAACGCTTGAGTCTGGCTCTGGTCAGGCGGCGAGCTACCCTAGTACGTCGTCTGCAACTATATATGTATAGATCTGTCTTGCAAATTGATAGAAGTCAACCTAGGGATATCTAAAAAGCAAAAACACGCATACGTATTTTTTGTAGTAAAAATCGACTGAACTATTTTCCGTATTTTCGTATGATTTACTTTACCTGTGACAAAATACATACATATGTACTGATTTCGGGACGATACGTAAAATATTCTAGAATGGTAATTTATATAAATGGTGTTCCTATGTGTGTAAATAGGTACTATTGTAGTTCAAAGGGAATATACAAATTTCTAAACATTAAATTCACTATTGTAAATGGTCTCGCCTTCTCGTGTCTACAAACGTTATGTTGGTGAGACTAATGAATGGCAGATCTCACAAACAATTATATAAGTACATATATATTATATATCAGTGTATGTTATTCATGCCTTCATTAAAGGAGCACCCTGTTTATTCATCAAATTCGCCGAAGACTTTATTGTTTAGATTAGTATTTTAAATATTATTATTCTTTGAATTTATCTCTTATTATTCTTTGTATACCTACATTTTATATTGATACGTTTATTTATATTTTGTTTTGTACATAGGTATCTGAATATTTGGGATTATTGAACTTATAAATAATGATACTGTATGTACCTATGGACTCGCGAGTAATTGTCCCCTTTTTTTTCATGTGAAAACCTAGTGTAAAAATAGGCGTCACCAGGGGCTGCCACCAATGCGTTGCCTTTTAGAGATTATAGTTTGATTAAGAGATTAGGAAGGGATCAGAGGGGGCACAAGGATTGAAATGGTCCTCCGGTGAGCTCACTCACACGGCAAAACACAACGCGTGGTTGTTTCACACCGGTTTTCTGTGAGGTCGTCGTACTTATCACTCCGGTCGAGTCGACCCATTCGTGTTGAAGCATGGTACTTTTCATATTATCTTTGATGCTGATATTATGTTGCCTACCTCGCCACCCCGGCTCCGTTTGTGGTGGTCTTGGCCCCGGCGCCCACGAAACGCTTTGCGCCATCGGCTCTGGTCTAGTTCTAGCCAGGCGGCGAGCTCCCCTCGTTCGCCGTTTGCGCTGCTGTGCAGTTTCTGTATGTAAAATAATATTTAGTCCACTAAACGGTTTTTCTGATACTCGTGGATGTAGCGATGTTGATTAATCTATTCTAGTGTGACGTCACCAACCAACTTTTATTTTTATAAAATTTTCGCTTTACCTATTTCAACGAATAAATGGAATCGAAATAGAAAAAAATACGAAACATGTTCACGAGGTCGACATCTTTCCTCAAATAAATTAACATATTCTAATAAAGGATTTTTGTCTTCAATCTTTTTTTAAGTCTCTGTTCGTATCATTAAATCCTGCTTGAAAGCTATTGCATGTTCCTACTGAGTATAGCGCTTAGCAACCGGCTCAAGCCGCAAGCTTAACGTATAGGCCAAAAAAATCGTTCGACTGTTTTTGTCCAAATTAATATTTTCAAAGGGTAGTATTTATACATTATACCGTACAATTTTGTATATAATCTATTGATAAGATTTTGAGTAAATTATTTATGACTATTAACTTCAATGCCTGGACCATCTCAAATCGATTTTATAAACGAAACCAATGAGTTTGTTAAGGACAATACAAACTCCACTAAGTATTTCTGTACAATCTCCAAGTATATTTTGCTTCAATACAAAAAAGTCGGCTCGACTAAATACCAGGACCTCACAGAAAACCGGCGTAAAACAACCATAGGGGTATCTTTCACCGTGTGAGTAAGGTTACCAGACGTCTAATGTCCGCTCTCCCACAATCTGTCCCCAATCCATAAATGTGCCGAACCCTAATCCACAAAAAGTTGGCAACGTACTCATAACTCAACCGTTGTTGCGAGTGTCCACGGGGAGCGCTGATTGCTTACCATCAGACAATACGTCTGCTTGTTTGCCGGCCTCATCATCATCATCATATAAGTGCCCACTGCTGAGCAAAGGCCTCTTCTCAGACGGAGAATTACCACGCTTCCTCAATGCGGGTTGGCGATTTCAAACTTATAATTAGAAATTATAAGTCCAGGTTGCCTCGTGATGTTTACCTTCACCGTATGTCAGTGGTGTCTAAATAATCATAGAAAGTACATATAACTTCGATAGTCACACATTGGTACTTGCCAAGTTTCAAACCAACACCCTCGTGCATGAGAAGCGGGCTCCTCCACCTCCGGGCCACCATCGTTCTTTCGTACGTTCTTGTCCATGATTACCCGTCCTATCACATAAAAAAACATTTGGTAGGAAAACTTTTAAAGTAATTTTTTCATACTAAAGATAAGAATTGTATGAGGTTTTTAATTATCTTTCTGCTACGAATTAAAATCAACAAGAAAGTAATCTAAGGTACAACCGTTGGTCAAAATGAGTTGTAACAATAACAGAGTTTGCCATTACAACGTGACTTTGTATTGCGAGTGATGCTTTTACCGAGCCGACTCGAGTTTCAATTAATGTACCTTTATTTTTATTTTTTATTAAATGTTTATTTCTCTACACATTTCAATGAAGTGTAACTAAATAAGTAACTCGATAATAGAATTCTACTTTTGAATTTGAAAAATTACAGAAAAAGAAATATTATTATTATTAATTTAATTTGCTTAAAAATATTTTTTTCGTATGAAAAGTCGACAAACGAGCTGACGGATGACATGATGGTATGAAATCGACGCTGCCCATGTACTCACACAACACCAGAAGAGTAAAGAGTGCTTTGCCAGCCTTTCATGGATTAGGGTTTTGAAGATTTAGATCTAAGGGAAGGTTATAGTGTGGATTGGGTCTTTGGTAACCTCACGGTCACATACAACGCTGTGATTGTTTCACGCCGGCTTTCTGTAAGGCCGTGATGTCAGCCGACCCATTCGAAGCATGGCTCTCCTACACTTTCAATGTGTTTTTGGCGCTTTAAGGTGGTTTTTGTACTCAGTGGTTTCGAAGGAGTGTTACACTAAATCGATAAATGACAAATGACCCAATTCAATGCACCACGATCTGTTTATTATTATGTCTTGTATGCTCCCGAAAACTAATAGCCGAAGTTAGCCCGAGCTGACTAAGTTGCGCACACTTGTGTATGGCAAGCCTTAACGAGCGAGTCACTCAGGGCTTTAGGCGGGTTCTGATTTATTTACCACTAGCACCATCTGTTACATGACACGAGTGTCTAAATGATACTTTGAAGTTGTCAAATTATCGCGTACTTACTTTGGCAAAATTGGGATTGCGTTCGCAAGTTTCACTCGCAAATTACTGCGAGCCCTTCTCTCGAGACGCGGCGCAGTTATGTTACATATAAGTTTACTTCCAAAGTACTGTTACACATTAATTAAGCCTATTAATCTAACACAAACGTATAACAGACGCAATCTATAAACGTATATACGTACACATAAACATGAATATATTGAAGTCTGTATTTTCCATTAATACAAAAGAAAAAGAAAAACATGGTACGAATATTTTATTAATAGACTTAAAAGTATTATTGTTTTCCACGCCTACACGTTCGCCGTACGAAAAAGATCACTGATACTCAGAGGGTTTTTAATAACAGTAGGTATCGTACTTGTTTTCAATAAACAAGAGCACTTACGTATTTCGAAATACGATACGACACACGATAACATTAAATTATGTTGTAAAAGAGAATATGAAAAAGTCGAGAAGATTCATATATCATAAATGTAGGTACTGCTTGTCCCTGTAGATCGCCAAGTGCGTTTTGGATTTATTAATTCATTATGGTGGTGTAAAGTTGGAAGATGTTCAGCGAAGTGCACACGATAAGGATTTAATTCCAAGAGTAGATCGGGGAGTTGTGAGCGTATAGCGAGGGGCACCGGGCTACGGGAGAAGTGACCACAACGGAACGCGCAGTACAAAGATTAAATTGAATCTGGCGAGTTGCCAGATACCCGGACCTACCTAAAATTACAAAATATTATGCTGATTTTATGGCTTGCCTAAAGAACTGCTTATAGTCCCGCTTCGAAGCGGTCGGATGAATTATTGCGCAACAGTAAAAATACCTGTATTTCCTCTACTTTCTATGATATTTTAAGAATCTTGTTATAATGTGACGTATAAATATACCAATCTATCATCATTCATGTAGACTGCAGACAAAATTTACTAGTTTGTGTGTAATGCCCCGACCTATGTGCGATATGCATTCTATGACAAACATGGTCCCGTAAAGCATTATTGCATTACATGGAAGCAAAGGATATCTGGCTATTGGCTTAGTTGGCTGTGAATTAGTTATCTGACAACTTTGACACGCTATCACCTACACAAGCTGCATATTACAGTTGGGATTCGATTATTAAGTTACACACTACATCTAACGTACCGCTGGGCTATAGGTATTTCAAAATAAGTAAGAGCCTAAATTAATTAATTTATTATAATTTATACTTTAATGCACATGTGTTAAGGTCTGTAATGGGCTTAATGCAAATGTCAATGGCATTGCCTACCAGTCAACCTTAGGTTTAGCAGAAAATCTATAAAAAAAAACAAATGAAACAAACAGGTATTGTTCATGCATATTTGTTTTTAAAACAAATGAAGCATAAACTTATTACATGTATCAACATATATTATACATAATATATTATCTAAATTATATACATATATCAATAGCGACATATAAGAGCTAACGGCTAAAACCGGGGACGAGTAGATTTTTTTTTAAATGTTGGTCAACCTAACAAGGCGAATGGCAATGTTTCTAAAATAAATACAAACTACAATGTGACACAATAAAATAGTAATTTTAAAAATGGTTTTGTGGTCGTTTTCTCTTAATAAAAGCAGGTCCTGTCTTCACGACTTGCTTTTCAATTTCCTATGTCACAGAGCTCACAAGAAAATTTCAATGACAGTAACATAAAGGGTAATCTAAAAATGGATTTATTTTCCCTTTGAAGAAAGCAGGGGTGTATCATATCATGATGTTTTCAATTTCAAAGCAAATGCAAGGAAACTGTTTAGGATATAATATTATCATGTCCAGTCTTTTTCATTGTTCACAAACAAAATTAAATGACAAATAAATAAATAAGAAAATATAGGTACACATTGTAAAAATGGACTGATACCTATTTTAGTAAATCCTCATTAATGTATCTTCCAATTCATTAACGATTATTATTCGACCAGTATATAAAACAATGTTTAAGTTTCTAAAACACCAACGCAATTCATATTATTATACTAAAACAAACATTTCCTGAAAAAATCTTGATAAAAACTTTCGCAACCTTACGCAAACGATTCTGTTTCTTCATGTTAATAATATTAAAAAAAAGGGAAAGCTAAACACATAAAATCGCTCGGGTATCTACACAGTTTAGACGTTTAAACTTTTTATAGCAGCCTTTAGAGTGAAAATTCAACGGATATCTGTGAACAAATAGTAGTCCCTGAAGAGCGGAAACTGCCATAAAAATTCGCGTCGTCGTCATTAGTCTCAGCCGTGTTTTGATCAGGGACCCTACTATGAAGTGTTAGAGCTATCATTGTTACGCAGCCAGAAAGGGACAAAGCTAACCATTTTGTATAGCCCCATCCCTCTCTATCGTACAAGATAATAACCCCAATGACACTTTGTAGAATCGCGTCGTGAGGCAGTCCCGCCTCTTTTTATCTCTCTGTTGAGGCCTTAAAAACATTCGATTTCAAATTTCGAAACAAACATTTTCTTGTTTTTAGTTTACGTCGTTCTTTATAGAGGTAGCTACATATACTGCTAAGATTACTTAGGAAGAAATGTATTTTTACATTATTTTATTATTATCGAAAGATGAGAGTAACAAAATAAACTATTATTTTACCATTGATATTGATTAAATTACAGTTGTTTTCTAAGTGAATTGATATTGACAGGTATTGACATTTAGATAGATACAATAATACCGAACTTTTTTTCTTTTCTTGTCACTATAAAACAAAGTCGCTTTCTCTGTCTCTATATCCGATGTATGCTTAAATCTTTAAAACTACGCAGCGGATTTTGAGGTGTTTTTTAATAGGAAGGGTGATTAAAGAATTAGTTTAATAAATATGTATGTATAATGACAACGATTAAATAGGTAATGGAGAAATCTAGTATCAGCTTTGACCCTGTGCAAAGTTGAGGCGGATCTCTAGTTGATATCTATCTATCTATATCTATCTATTTCTTCTTCTATATATATATATACTAATATAAAGAGGTAAAATTTGCAAGTTTGTATGTAGGGAGTAATCTCTGGAACCGCTGGTCGGATTACCAAAACTCTTTCGCTGATAGATAGCTACAATATTCCTGAGTGCTATATGCTATAAAAAATCACGCTACGATTAAATGGAGCCGAGCAGCGGGTGAAACCGCGCGAGAGTAGCTAGTAAGAAAATAAAGTAAACACATGAGCTAGATGACCTAGAGTATGAACAGCGAATACCTTATCAATTAAGTTAAATGAAAACGAGTTGTTTAGGTGCGGAAACTGAAAATATGAAGGAAAAGATAAAAGTGTAAACAGGAGATGAGAGCGCGACCGCGCGATATTATTAAAAGGGTAATAATATTTCTTGAAAAATTCTTAGTCACTCGTAATTTCTGTGACCTTTTTTAATGTAAGGGCGGGTTTTTAAGCAATCAAGTTCAAGTGTAGGAGAGCCATGCTTCGACGCGAATTGGTTGGCTCGACCGGAGTATTACCACGGCCTCACAGAAAACCAGCATGAAACAATATTATAATCGAAGACATCTTGTAACAATTTTCACTCTTTTTTTATTTACAGACCTTTTTACATAGGTCAGCCCCATGGTATCTTATAATCTACTGAAGCCTATTTTTATTTTCGTAACGTAATTAAAAGTTAAGACGGTATTAAAATACCTACGTAGGTACATCATGTTTATTTAAATGTCTTTAAATCTGTCAACAAATGAAAAGCATTACCTAAGTGTGGGTAAGCTATGCTTCGGCACAAATTGGTCAGGTCGTACGCAGTGATACCACGGCATTACAGAAAACCGACGTGAAACAACCACAGCGTTGTGTTTCGCCGTATGAGTGAGGTTACCGGAAGCCTAATCCTTCGCCTCCCCCTATCGCTAAATCTCCAAATCCCTCATTCCCAAAAAGGTCGGCAACGCACCCGTAACTCCTCTATTGTGTCAATGAGCGGCGCTGATTGCTTACCATCAGGTAATCCGTCTGCTTGTTTGTCGACAAAAAAACATCCTCTATAACTCCACACAAACATGTCTACAACAACTGATCTTATAACATTGCACTAATTGAAGAGGTAAGAAATTACAATGTGTTTGAGTAACAAAAATTCCCGTGTCTTCCTTGAGTGTCAAGCTTATTGCGAGTTAATGCATTATCCCGGAAAGTTAGCAGCGCGTCAGCGCAGATGGCAGTTTTATATCAAGCCCTAAAGTGCAAAGCCATGCTAGACCACCAAAGCCTCTGTAACCTAACAGAACAGCTTGACCTCTCCCATCAAATACAGGACCTGAAGCAGAGGATCACGGACACCCCAAAACCTACCCAATCTAACTCATTTGCCGATATGGTAAAAAAAGGAGCTAACAAATTTATTCAGCCCATAAATGTGAGTTCCATTGCCATATACCCCAACGACAAAATGAAGACGAGTGACGAAACCAAATCGTTGGTGCAAAAAATTATCCGCCCTGAAGAGATGAAGCTACAGGTAAGAGGCCTTCGAAAAACAAAAAACGGTGGCGTTATCATCAGCACGGAATCGAAGGGTGATATAGAGAAGTTGCGCCAATCAACACAATTGTCTAGCTCAGGTCTTTCCGTAGATGAGCCCAAAAAAAGAAATCCGCGTGTAGTCATCATCGGTGTACCATCTACAATGCCCGACAATGAAGCCCTAACATGTCTGTACCATCAGAATCTGGCAGAGAAACTGGAGAACTGTAGTCTGGACTCTTTCCTGTCCACGACTAAGATGAGCCATAAATCAGGCCGAAGAGATGCAGCGACGTGTAATTACGTGATCGAGGTAACTGCAGCTACCCGTAAAGCCCTGATGTCGCAAGAGCGAGTTTTTATCAATTGGTCTTCCTGCCCTGTTCGAGACTTCACTCTGGTGACCAGATGCTATAAATGCCAGCAGTACGGACATGCTGCTAAATCATGTCGCCAAACATCTTTTACCTGCAGCCATTGCGGAGAACAAGGCCATACCATCAAGGACTGCACAAAGAAGTCAGATGAACCCAAATGTGCAACTTGTCTGCACTACAAAAAGCCCGCCAACCACACGACAGGTGCTACTGAATGCCCGGCAAAAACCATGGCCGAACAAAGGTATATAAACTCGGTAGACTATGGAGGCGCCTAAGAGCGCTACAACTTAATTTATAATCTTTAGTCCTACTCTTAGATATACAACGTATGGTAAGTAATTTTATTAATGATTTAGACAAATTCTCTGTGTCTGACTCTAAAGTTTGTGAAATTGAAAGCTGCAAACGACATCTGTCTAGCTTTAACACACCACTAACAATCATAACTCAAAATATCCGTAGTGTTTTCAAAAATTTTGACAGTCTTAGCACACTTCTTTATAGATTAGATATAAACTGTGACATAATTGTATTAACAGAATGCTGGCTTGCCAAACAGAATAACATACCACTAATACCTGGGTATAATATGTATTGTAGTGGTAAACATTACAACCAAAATGATGGAGTGATAATTTATGCAAGGGATTACCTACCTAATATATCTGTAGTGGAACCGAATATGCACGACTGCTCCAGATTATTACTTAAAATCGGCTCAGAGTTTGCAGTTTTAGCATTATACCGATCACCATCATTTAAAAGCACGCAAAATTTTACCAACTCTTTAAGTGATACCTTGCAGAATCTTACACCCTTCAAAAATATAGTTGTGCTTGGAGATACTAACATTAATATTATGCCGGAAAGTGCTGATGCGTCTGCTCAGGAATATCTCAATGTATGCGCGCTACATGGACTACTCCCCACGCATACCTTTCCTACACATCAAAAAGGTTCCTGCCTAGATCACATCATACTAAAATCAGATTACCGCGCACTTGCACTTGTTACTAACTCAACTATAACCGATCATAATGCTGTCCTACTAACCTTAAATTGTACTTTACCTAAACCAAATACTCGCCTAGTTACTAAATTGCAATTAAAGAAACTTGAGGAGGATTTACGCGTCATCGATTTTGAGCCAGTCTATAATTCTACCGACCCGCAGTATTGCATGACGTATGTTATAGAAAGTGTGCGTCATGCAATCCAGCAAAACTCAGAACTTATACAGTTACGTAATAAAAATCATAACATAAAACCATGGATTACGCCTGGCCTTATCAGGTGTATGAAACATAGAGACAAACTGCACACTAAAGCCAGACGTGATCCAGGCAATATGGATCTACAATTATCTTATAAGCGATACAGAAATTTTTGTAATGATCTGCTTAAAAAAGTTAAAAGTAACTACGATAAAAATACACTAGAAAAGGCTGGCACAAATAGTAAACAAATCTGGAAATGCATTAAAAACATAACATACGCTTCCAAACAAAGTGAGTCATCCTCAGGTTTATTAGAAGGATATTCGACACCGCATGCGGCCGCTAATATGACTAATAACTTTTTTGCTAATGTTGGCAAAAGTCTGGCAGAAAAAATCCAGGGATATGTTTCTCAACCAAGTACTCCAAAGAAGTGCACCCCCTTAACATCCTTTGCAATGATAAACACTGACGAGACTGAGATTAACAATATAATTATGACTTTAAAAGATGACAGTGCTGCTGGCTGGGACAATATCTCCAACAAAATCTTGAAACAATTTAGATACATTTTGATTCCACCTCTGACCTATGTTTTCCGCCTATGTTTATCATCAGGTGTCTTTCCCGCGTGTCTTAAAAAGTCCGTTATTATTCCAGTATATAAAACAGGCAGTAAAGAGCAAGTAAAAAACTATAGACCTATCTCTCTGCTGCCATCTATGTCTAAAATACTGGAAAAAAAATAATAAACATTAGACTTCTCAAATATCTGGAGGATAGATCAATTCTATCGGAGCGGCAATATGGGTTTAGACCGAGACTATCAACAGCTGACGCGGTACACTATGTGACTGACTATATAACGCAAGAACTTGACAAGGGTAACCACACTTTGGGAGTTTTTCTGGACCTCGCCAGGGCTTTTGACACAATTTCTGTTCCTGTGCTGTTGCGCAAGCTGGAAACTATTGGTATAAGAGGAACTCAGCTCAAACTTTTTCAAAGTTATTTAGAAGACCGCACTCAGTGCGTAAGAATTGGTAAGGTCGTCAGCAATGATATAAAAACTACCCCTTACGGTGTGCCCCAGGGGAGCATACTATCATCTACGATGTTTTTAATTTACATAAATGATTTATGCAATCTCAATCTGGAACACGGTACGATTGTGTCATACGCTGACGACACCGCTCTACTATTTTCAGCTGACTCGGAAACTGATGTCTACAAGCTTGCGCAAAACGGTTTTAATAATGTAAATAATTGGCTTCGTTGTAACTCACTGACATTAAACACAGATAAAACGCACTTCATCAAATTTTCAATACGAAAAGAAAAATCAAGTATTGTCTCACCATTGCATGCCCATTATTGTAACATTCCCAACCAATGCTTGTGCCCTATCATTAACCGGGCCACTCATGTTAAATACCTCGGCATTATATTGGACGAAACTCTCTCTTTTAAACGGCATCTGGATGTATTAAATACTAGACTGCGTAAGCTTATATTTATTTTCAAAAAGCTACGCTATGTTGCTGATCCGAAAATAATCAGACAGGTTTACTTCGCCCTATGCCAATCAATATTGACCTACTGTATCACCTCTTGGGGTGGTACAGACAAGACTCTATTGTTATCTACCGAAAGAGCTCAAAGAGCTGTCCTCAAGGTATCTACTGGACGCTCTTTCCTCTACCCTACTAATCTTCTTTACAAATCTTGTAATGTACTAACAGTTCGCCAGTTATTTATAATGAGCACTATACTTAAACAACACTCAACACTTCCCTACAATCCCGAATTAATTACTAGAAGAAGGAAAGATATCGTTTGCCCAGCAAAAAGTACAAAACACACTTTTATAACAAAATTTTTTGTATTCCTCGGACCTTTCCTATACAACAAACTGAATGCGACTTTATCCTTTTACTCCTACAATCTCCATACCTGTAAAAAAATCCTCATCGAAGCACTTCAAGACATGTCCTATGAAGACACAGAGAAGTTATTATTAGTTCCTAAATAACTGTATTAAAGGTCTTTATTTTTATTTATGGTTTAATTTTTATTTAATTAGACATAGATATAGAATTTAAGTATCGTTTTATCCTGTTATTTTTAATATAAATAGTAGTATTATTTCCTTAATTTAAAAACACTTATGTACTTATGATTATTTAACAATGTATAATATCTTTTTACCCATTTTCGCCTGAAACACAGGTTGTCCTAGTTCAGGCACCCAATATTATGAACTTGGTATAGCTTTAAGCAAAACTGTATATTCCAGATTATGTGTTCTTCAATAAATTTTATTTATTATTATTTATTTATTAATTTGATTAATTATAAAATAGGAAACAAAATGAACGTTGTAGTCGCTTTGTGCATGATATTCATACCTTCTTTTAATCTTTATCCGAGCGACACAAATAGAATAACTAAAAATATAAGAAAAGATATAAAAAATAAATGTTATATTCACTAGCGCAGCCAGGACGAAACTATACAAGTATTATATAACTAAAGTTTTTAGTGTTGACAAATTGATTAATTTGGCGGTGATTTAGTATTTAACGAAAAATGTAAGACATTTTCTGCACAATTCATGACCAAATGCGACATAAACGCATTCCAGTAATCGTAGTATCGTTACAAACCTAGAATTATTCGTATCAATGGCATAATTAAATCCTACTTAGGTATATCTAAAAGTAAAATTTTGTGAGATTGTATGAATGTATGTTACCTATTTACACAAACGGCTGAACCGAATAAGTTGAAATTTGGTATGTGGTCGGGGGACGTGGCGTGCAGAAGCTAGTAGCAGCTATGTTCTTTTTAATTATTCTTATATTACTTCTCGAATTTTAGTGTAACTACACTAAAACTACTACTAACAATTATATTCGCTGCAGTAGCATCTTGTCGGTAAGGTTTATTGCAAACCAAAAAATGAACTAGCCACATGGCACAATAATCAATCAGAAAACACATCTCGAATAAAACTTTTCATTTTATTCTATCATCAGCAAATATGTACATATACGTGCTCAAGTGTTGTAGACAGAAACCAATATCTATTTACTTCAAGTTAAATAATATTCAATCACAAAGGAAAAATAAAGTGGCGGTCGCTAGTGCCAGTAAGCTTTCCTAAGATCGATTGTACAAACAGGGACAACAATAGATTGTAGGTACACAAACACAAACAAATTCACTTTTATTTTACTGGATTATTGATATCTTTCCTATTGTTTTGTATGTTCATTACCGTCTCAACAGTCTTGTAGTATATAGGTGCCTACATTATGTATTTGCCATTTTTAATAGGCTCCTTCGTCCGTAATTGAGACAGACATGTAGTCTGTCTCAATTATGTAATTCGGTAATTTGGACTACTTTAAAACAATATAAACTAAATAAAGTGCACGAAGATTTCTTGAAATTATTTTATTCTTGAAATTACTTTGGTTATATAGATCTCTTTTGTTTTTTTCTAATACTGCTGTTTGTGTCTAAAAATACGAAAGTAGTTCTATGTAAATACGAAAATGTTTGGACGTCAAACTAGGGCTAGACAGATGTTTCTAGTCTATTAAACTTTTTACCATAAATAAATATTTTAACCAACATCAGTCGCTACGTGATCGCGGGCAACTAAGTCCTAAGACTGGACGTTTAGCATAAATTAAAAGAAAAATGTGATAAATCCAAACGAATATAAATATTTAAACAAACAAACAAATAAAAGGCCATCCGTGTGAATATGTTCCGAGTTACGATAAAATCGAATATATTCTAGTCAAAAGCTGGATCGGTAGCTTTCATTGGAAATTCAACTAATGGGGCGGAAAGGAATGCCGTGTGCATTGCATAGTTATTAGGGAAGTGCCACAGCCGGGTATAGTTATTGGGTCAACAAGAATGTTTACGGCACGTCCGCACGATATAAAACCGAAGCAAAACGGGTGACGTGTCACAATGCTGCCACCTTCCGACAAAACGGACAAAACCGCAGCAACAAACCGTTCTTGACCCCAACTCATAAAATTAATCACAGCTCATTTTATTTGTTCGCGATTACCCACAAGGTTCCACATATTATCCTCAATTTAAAAATTAATTATTTCAAACACTCAACTATTGAAATTAATTCACTCTCGTGAAGTTGATTGAAAATCAATAACCCTGTTTCTCCGATGTGGTGAATATTGCTTGTCGGCGCGCCGTATAGTCTGTTTCAATTACTATCATCCATTAAACTAGGTTTTCGTCAACACCATCATAGCTAATGGAACCGGTTCATTGAAGTATGCTATGACTTCAGCGAGCACACAAAATGGAAATGAATTAGGGTAAAATCTCAGTCCATAGCGAGTTTGATAAGCAAGCCTTTGTTTTCATAGCAAGGGCAAAGAGCCGATGTCCATATCAGTAATTAATCAATACCTTTTGGCATATCTAAGCCCCAGACATACCCTTTTACTCTGAAAATAAGCTTTATCTAGTTAGTTCAATAAGTTTGTTTTGAAACGTTTATACATCGTATGCTGCTTCAACATCAGGAGCATTATAAAATACACAGAATAATGTTATCCTATGTTAATAGAATGAAAACGGTTAATAATTTACTTGCATGTCTTCAAACAATGCTCTGTCGGCTTTTTGATACCGACCGAAATTTCGGATTGCGTCAGTATTGTGTCCGGAAACGAGTAATTAACCACCGGAACTACAATTAAACCCTTACTTAGACTAAGTTTGGATTGACATGACCTTACTTCATATCACTTCATTACAGCATGTTGGAATCGACCGCTATACCACATTAATTTCCCTTTTGAAAAGGTTAACTAAGTGACTTTTCGTCTTGTGTTTAGTTGCTCTCAGGCGCGTCATTTCATTTAAGTTAAAATTCGTAGTAATAGTAAATCCTCCCCGTAATATGTACTTACCCCGACCTTCGGAGAATAAGTGAAGCCCAAATGTTATGCTAGTATAAATTATGTAGTAGACCCGCTACAAAACTCAAAACTCTTTTTTTAAATACGTCTACCGTTTACAGTCTTCGACACAATTTTGAAAGCGCGATGATGTATACCTACTCGGACATATCCTGGCCTAGACACAGATTCGATGTGCAAGGAAGGCACACCACACTTTTAAAATAGGATAGGTTTTAAATTAAGTACCTATAAGCAATTTCTTTTTTATGTATTGCAAAACAGTTTTGTTTGTCTCAAACATCACGGGTACATGAAATAACTTTGAAAAAATATACAAAATGTATACTTATACCATAAACAAAATGATTATAGTTATAGGTTTATAAAAGAATTTAACCGACTAAAAACCGATTAAAACCACGTCAGAATACTTTTTAAAAACATAAGTAAGTATAGAGAGAAATAAACAATTCTAAGAAAAGCTTAATTATAAAATAAGTAATTAATAAAGTTTTTTTAATCGTTACAGGAAACTGATCGTACGAGTATTACAAACTGTATCTGATTTGTATTTATTCGATTGTATCTGTATAAACATGGTGTATATTAGCTTCTAGCAACTTTTGATATAGAATTTCGAACTTCGCATAAGCGCAGTGTCGGCATGAATATCTGATAGGGTAAGTGGGAATAGGGCACGTAACTCAATAGAGCTTGAAGGAATACCTGCTTGAGCCGTGCAAACAAGCACTTGAAAAAGCAGAGATCGTGCAACGCTCGGGTTGCCGACCGCTTGCGCCTATAACCATCTTCACAATTTCTTTTCATCATTTCTTTTCAAATATCCTTTCAATCGAAACTTGCATTGAGTTTTATGATGCATTTTTTATATTAGGCTACCTAATCGAAATAAACTACCAATTTTATTGTATAACAATTAACAAGTCCAGGCAGGACATTAGTAAGTATAGAATATTGATCTACCTATTGGTCCAGGTCCGCTCATTATTATACATAGGTATACTTATCCCAATTTTTTGCATTATTTATTCATCTATTTCTAATGATTCTAACATATCTTATCGTGCACACAAACTAATTTTAAACTGCTTTTCTTTATTAAAGTCTATACAACTTGACAAAATGAACATTTCTATATTTTTATAAAGAGGTATACGTAGAAAAATTCGTTTCAAAACAAAACTATCTACATAATATAATATTCTATTTCTGGTCAGACTTTCCTTATTTTGTCAACGTAATCCGAAGATCCTTAAATAAAAAACCAATATGTACGTATCATATGATACGTACATATTGGTTACTTATCTTTAAAAAAATACACAATATGTCTGTGTCACTGCTGGATATGATATTCAAAAATTCATAATGGATACTCTTTTAAAACAAAATTATTTTAACTTCACATTCTCAACTACGAGAAATGTATGTATTGCAAATGTAATGTATTCTTTTTTTTTCTTTGAATATTGGACTTCAGTCTATTTGTTCGTAAATTTATTCTGCGTCCAAACAAAATATGTAACTTCCACTTTCTAACTATTGAAATCAAAATTCAAATATATGTATGAGTTTGTAACAAACACTAGAAACTGTATTCACGCGAGATAACTTAAATATATTTCGAAACCGTTCGGTCCCTAAACGCTATTCGTTTCAACAACTTTAAAACTTGGCTTAGTATTAAAATCCCTCAAAGGTGAAGTTGTAATGGTGCAAACAAAAATAGAAGTATTATGAAGTTTGGTAACATAAGCACTAACGGTCTAGGGGCGGTGTTTGTGAGTGTATGACTTTCAGCGTGATGCCGGCCCGACGTGATCCGCATACCGTGTTGTCCCCGCGGGCAAACCGAGCGATATTTGCTTTTTTTACTACCGCATCCATATTTCAACACCAATACCCCCAACAATATTTGGAAGTACTGAGAGCGCTAATGCGTGCGTGGCAGGAAAAATGATATCCGACCTTACATTCGATATTCTTTACGTTGTTCTCACAGGAAAGCTGCAATAGAATAGTTAAAGAGCGGATGACCGCGTTTAGCTATGGAAGGGTTTAGTTATAGTTAGACGTGGTCTGTAATTGTAGCTATATTTTGTAATTGGACTTCTCGTTAGGAGTAGTCTGTCAATTTATTATCAAAGAAATACGTTGCAATTAATTGAAACTTATTTTTATATATTGTTTTATATAAATTACGTTTAATTAAATAATTTCTCAACGAATATACGGGATAGATACAGTATATTTTTCAGAGTTTAATAAAATACGCCTAATTAAATACTGGTTACTAATAAAAAAGTTACCTTAATAGTGAGAAGTGTAAAGGCTCATGTATTTCCTTAAAGAAACAAAACAGCTCTTTTAGAAAAATATTTTTAGACAAGGACAGCAAATAAAATGTATTTCGTATAATATTTGTAAATAGTCAATGAGTCAAGGTCAACCAATATTTTTTTTTTTTTTATCAATTGGTTTTATTAACTACAAGCTAATTTAATGTTTACAATTTCAAGAATAGTTTAGCTAATAGGCAATACTAACAGGTTGCCATTTGAAAAACGAAAACCAAGCTTCAATTAATTATTATTACATTTATTGAACAACACTGTTGTAGCGCTTATGTGTCGAGGAAAGTCGGCTTGAGTATTAGAGTAAGAAATTATCAATAAAGCAGCAGTAACACACGCGTACGTGTCTCTACTGAACCACAGGTAGACATATCATATTTACCGCAATTTCGCGCAGGATTGCAATGCATCACCGCTGTAACACGCATTCCTGTTAGGCGGAAATATTCTGCGGCATTAAGATTGCTACAACCAATAATATAATTTTATCTATTCAAGTAAAAGGTCTAATCAACTAATTGATATTTGTTTTCTCTTAACAAACCTACATATTTATGTATAATAATTACTTATATTGTGAAATAACAATTCGCGAAACCATACAATAAACGGCCGTATTCAATAACCTATCTGTTTGTAGATATGCTTAAAGAAATTTTGACATTTTTGTTTGGACTTTATATCAGAATGAAATACGATTATTTATGAATATTAATTTCATTGTATTGAAATATTGAAGATGTATATTTTTGAGTAAGAATATTAAACAATAGGAATTGTTTTTAAAATTCTTAGTAAGACTTTATAAATAGTATACAAGATTCCGTTTAAAAATATTTTATTTAGTTAAATGTACAGTATATATTAATAACGATCTTTTTCTTTGTTACAGTATGCAATCAATTTGCACGAAGCGTAGTTGCTATGCTGGGTGCAGTTGCTCCGGATTCATTCGACACCTTGCATTCATATGCTAACACGTTCCAAATGCCATTCGTCACGCCATGGTTCCCCGAAAAGGTAATTTTAATACATTTTTATATACAACTTCATGCCACTGAGAAGGCGTGCATTGACCAGCTAAAAAGTATTTTCATATTTGTGGAGATTTCCCATTAAATGACTCACATTGGGAATACGAAATGAGGAAACGCGTCAAAATTTAAAAATTGAATTTTTCGCTTGAACTTTTTGTCTTATAGTTTAGTTATTGGTTGAAGTTTATTTATTAACTTAAAAATAACTAACAAAGCTTACACCATTCGATATACATACTAGATGTTCAGTTAAATAAAACATGTTAAAGATGAAATCTAAACTTTAAAATTTTGTTGGATGTTTTATTCGTTCTAACAAAAATACAATGAATGCAAATTATAAAAAGATTTGAAAAGTTCCTTATTATGTTTTAAGCACATATGTCAACTAACGTGCTGTATTACAAAACTATAATATAAATTACTGTTCCTTTAGCTGTTAGTTGGTATGTATTAATACAGATGTTACCAAACATTGACGTGGCAACATTGTAAAAAAGGTTTGTTGAATATAGGTACCTGCATATAACTCAATTAGAGGACCCAATAAATGTTTTAAAACTGAATAATTGTGCGACACAGTGAGGTTTACCGAATATACAGCAGAGTATTTAATATTATAGGCATTCAGTAACGCAGCGCTGCACAAATGGCAAGCGCCTGAAGCATGTTTGTGGAAATCAATGTCAGTTGGTATTCATACCAACAGCGGAGTGTGACGAGTTCATCACAGGCCTCGATTCAGTCTCCCCGCTATGTACCTAACAAAATTGTCACTAACTACCGCTTCAAGATAGGAACGACTTAACTTAATCAACAGTTGAAACATTTCAGTGCATTTCTAGTACCAGCTACAATACTGGTACTTCTATATTTTAACATCTTGTCCATTATAATTAGAATCAGTAATTCAGCTATATTGATATTATAGGATAGATAAGAGACTGACCTCTGAGTTTGTTTCGGCATTTCTTCTCAGACTAGTCAGATAGGAAATGCCGGCTTCATCTAGTTTTTCACATATAATTTGACGTGTAAAAGAGCCGTTTTAATGCCTATTTGGAAAAATAAATTCATTGTTTCATTGTTTCATAAAATTAATCAGTTTTGTTGTTTTAACTTGCTAATATCTCTATGGAAAAACTACAATAACATACGACTTTCCTTTGCGATAATTTTTGCACGCACCTAACTGCCGAACTGATTAACGAAATTGCATAAGTATGTATTTATTGTCGCATTGTTCGAATAAGTAAATATAAAAAATACATAGGTAATATGGAAATATATTTTTATAATAAAAAAAGGAAATTTTTAGTAATACCAACCTAGCGAAGCTGAGGCGAGTTGATGGTCACAATGTATAAATTTTAGTGTATTACTCCGATATTAGTAGCGACTTTTCAACTATTGTATTAAAATTAAATACCTACAGACAACATAGACATATACAATCTTAATTTCCCAAACTAAGAGACTTCGTCTAAAAGCAAAGCTCATTTGATTTGATTTATAACAATATGAATGAGTCATTAGGCGCACAGCACAACAATCATTTACATTTTGTAAAAAAAAATGAGTGATTCATTGTTTCTCTACTAAAGCACCTGTTTTAACAAAAACGACGCGGACAATTTCCGAAGCTGAAAGTTTCATCAAGAAAATTGACACTTCACAAACTGAGTGCTTAGAAAGTCATTATATCATTTCGACCCTTCTCTGTGTGCTACATTAGGTGTTTTTATTCAAAGTTGAAACTTAATGACACAATAACATGACTTGCATTTTGAATACTGACCGAGTCAAACTGTAATATATTTATTTAATCTATTTATTTTAAATAATCTTAATTTACGGAAGACTTACTTTAATTGCAAAATTCAATCTATGAAATGCTCGGCAGTTATGCTTAAATCCTTGAATTTATTTATTTACTGTCTTGGTGGGTGCGAAACCTGGCAAGTACCAATGTGACTTCTTCCTCTACTCTTGTACAGTTCGTTTGTAACGTGTGAGTGATATGTATTTTCTATAGTTGTTTAGAAACCACTGACATACGGTGAAGGTAAACATCGTGAGGAAACCTGGACTTATAATTTCTTTTGCTTATTAATGGTTAAACCTTCTTCGTGTGAGAAGAGACCTTTATTCAGTAGTGGGCACTGATACGTTGATGTTGATGTTTTTATTTTAAAATAACATCATCATCACCATTAGCCTATGAGTGCCCACTGCTGAGCAAAGGCCCCTTCTCATACGGAGAAGGTTAGAGCATTAATTACCACGCTTGCTCAATGCGGGTTGGCGATTTCAAACTTATAATTAAAAATTATAAGTCCAAGTTTCCTCACGATGTTTACCTTCACCGTATGTCAGTGGTGTCTAAATAATCATAGAAAGTACATATAACTCGGAAAAAAGTCACATTGGTTATTGCCAGGTTTCGAACCCACCACCACCACACATCATAAATAACATATTCTCGTATTAATCATATATCTTTCCAATTGTCTAATTTGCTAGTAGCCGGTACACAGTCAATATAGATATAATAAACTCAACACTTGACTTTCAGTTGAACTAAGGTGCCCTGAAAAGAAAAGAGCAAACGATTTTTTTTTTCTCCTTAATAACGTTCTAAATTAGTTGTATGCACAAGTTATTACGCAAGTACTTAACGTTTTACTTTGTAAATGTACTAAAAGCATTTGAGAAACTAAAAACTTGTAGAAATTACTTCACACGATCCAGACTTAAGCGACTGAGCCTAGGTGCTCGACTAACTAAATGATTCAAGGAGACCCGTACTCAAACTCCCCGTGCCGCGTACTTGGGTTACACGGCAGTTTAGTTTTTCAAGGGTTTAGTCTGAAACCATTAGATTCTCACTCGAGACTTTAAAATTATATTCCATGCGTTGTGTCGCTTAAGTAGCTTTGTGTTAATAATTTACGCGCAGACGAAGTATGAAAACTTACTTTAGCGTTTAGTTTCAGGCGTAATTTTGTGTAATATTCACACGTTACACTCCCACGTCTTATATGAAGATGTTGATAAAACGATTATATCTTCAGTTTCTTAAATAACGCCTTACCTTTTATTTAAAGTTTTGAAAGATATATGGATCTTTTAGTTCGTGTATTATGGACTAAAATATTTTTGGTTATATACAATGTAGACAAACACAGTTTTTATGCCCAAATATTGTTTCAAGAATTCATGACCTGGCAGGACAACGAGTTATATATCATTTATTATAAGAAACATATTATTTAATAAACATTATTATCTTACTAAAGTCGCCAAGTATATTTTCCTAACAAACTAATATCGTATATAAAAAGGGAAATATTATATTAGGCAATTAGGCAATGGATACGTATATTTACCTAAATAGAAATACGATTAATTTAATATATAAGGAGGAAAAACATGTACACGAGTGGCGACTCCGATTTCACAACAAAAACAACAGAAAATCGTGATTATGGTACTTAATAATCCTTCATCTTACTTAAGAAGGTTCCATAATATGAATAAAAAATATCAAAATTAAGTAAAATTAATCAAAATGTTTGTTTGCATTTTTTGTTTAATTTTATTAATGTCAACACGGTTTTGAACCAATTAGATGAAAACACATATACATATATTAAAACACGGACTAATAATAGCTCTCAAAACTAATAAATAACAAAGTGCAATACGAAAAATACTACAAATATAAGTTAACATAAAAATAAATATTTCGGTAATCCTGGGACGATTATAGATCATTCCTTATTCCCCAGAATAGCCAAAACTAGACATATACCTATAATATAATTTAATATACTATTTATATTATGTATCTAAGTATTTTGGATCCTTTAGCTAGTACTCATCTTATATACTCGTTCTGTAACTTGGAAAAACATTACAAGTAAATATTCATTTGAAATACTGTCACTATTAAATTTAATACATTATCAATTTGTTTTTTTAGAATGACTAATACGGTATATAACGGATATAAGTTCCATATTAAGAAAATTACCGGAATGACATTTTGAAATCAAATATGATGTAACTGTATAACTTATTAAAACCAAGAAATACCTGCAAAATGTTTAATATATTTTCGAAAACTGAAAAGTATTTTGAATGAATATGACATATGAAAGTAAAGAAATTAATATTTCACCGAAATATTTACTTACAAACATAATATATGACGTCGTCGTTGACCGAGGGTTTGAAAAAGTCAATTCCGTGGTATTCTTAACTTTTAGTACCTAATTGATTGGAAAGTTATTACTTAAAACACAAAACCAATGAAGAATAGGTGTCCCAATGTATATTTTCAAACTTTGTGATATCTAGCGACCTGCGCCGGCTTCGCACGGGTATAATTCTGATACAAAATTTCTCCACAACTTAATAAATATTATTATATATATAAACCTAAACCTACCTACTCAATCATAATATTTTTTTAAAATCAGCATCCAAATCTGATGCCTAGTTAAGAAGACTTAAGCATACTTAGCGATATAGGGACTGGCAAAGCGACTTTGTTTTAGACTATGTAGTGAAAGTGAAGTAACTTGGGTTGAAATTTTATACAGTTTTTTCTGAGATAGGTCGGCAAATGAGCTGACTGATGGTAAGCATTCGGCGCCACCCATGGCGCAAAACCAAAGGCTAGCTTTTGGGGATAACGGTCTCGGATATTTAAGGATTGGGAAGGGATGAGAGAGGTAGGGATTGGACCTCCAGTAACCTCACTCACACGGCAAAACACAACGCTATGGTTGTTGTGGTTGTTGTTCTGTAGGGCCATGGTATCACTTCGGTCGAGCCGACCCATTCGTACACAACGTTGACATGTAAAAGGGCTTTTATGGCCTTTTAAAACGATTTTTTTTATTATATGTTGCATTGTATTCTCAGGTGATCCCACCATCTTCTGGCCTCAACGACTATGCTGTCAGCTTGCGTCCCGACTACCACCGAGCTGTTATTGCTACGATCACTCACTACGGCTGGAAGAACGTTATTTACATCTATGATTCCCATGACGGTAAGTTACATAAAAATATCTAACAAGAAAAGAACAGAAGTCCTTTATTCTTTTTATAAAAACGTTGGTTCACATTAAGATCTTTTCCTATTTGTGGACGCGTTTACAAACATATGTACAATTTCTTACACAGAATAATGAAAGGTGTTAATAATTGTTCATTCTGGTAATTGAACTTGCGAGAAGTTACTCGTAGTTGATTCCACTCTACGCCAATCGTGTAGTCACTTTATTTTTCTTTTCTCATAATTCAAAATGTCATAAGATTCGGTTCAAATAGTTTGACTTTGCAAAGACGAAAAGACTACGTTTTATTAGAAACACTAAAAAACAACCCAAACATATAATTGTAAACTCAAATAAATATTTTATACCAACCCTCGATGCCAATATTATTCTTTCATAAATCTTGGCAAGTATAAAAAAAAATTTATTCGTTATTTTAAATTTATTTCTGGAGTATATTATGTACTAGACAATGTGCAAATTTCTTGACACCTTGAATTTTAGGGACCAAAAATGTTTACTTGCAATTAGTACACTGAGCAGATTACGTTTGCTATTCGATTTGCTCTTCATTTTATATCAAAAAGGTGTAAAAATCATATTTAAAAAAAAGTGTCACAGAATAACTCTGTATTAAAAGTAATAAAAAGGCTTTCAGCTATTTTTATTTATTCTGAAAGGACTTGTGCAGTTTGTCAGAACAACTATGTTGTAAATAAATTTGAATTGCAAACTTTTTTATATTTTCGATTAATATAACATAATTTCTCAAATCCGTTTTATAAATCTAATGCAAAGAATGAATACGAGAACCTGGCAATACTAATGTTTTTTTTAGAGTTAAGCACATATATGTACTTCCTAAGTTTATTTAGAGACATGGAAACATCGTGAGAAAACATGGATGGTATAAAATCAAAATCGTCAATCCGCCTTTATCAAGCTTGGTAATTAATGCTCAAACCTTCTCTTCGTAAAAAAGGCCTTAATAGGCCGATGATATGAACTCAAATATTTTACTACAATATTCTTAGATTTAAAATGAATTGCTGTTCGTTTGAACTGACATGGCTCAATATGGTTTTGAAATATTCTTGGTTATACAAGGAAGGCCTAAAAGTTCAGAAAATATAACTAAATAAAAAAAAATATGAATTATACTTGAGGTTGCACGAAATTAGCCGTGTCAGCTACATTCAAATAAAAAATAATTGTTAATTATATTAAAGCTGACTTATTAAGAAAACAAACAGACTCAGGATATTTGTAAGTAAATTGTGTATAAAAATTTTAACATTCTTATTATTATTCTGAAATAAAGACAAGTAAATGTTACGCCTTAACTGCTGAGCGAAAAAAGGCGAATTTTAAAAGTGGCCGCGTCCGGAATGTTAATTCACTGTAGGGCTGAAATATTTTCAAGTCTCTTCTTCGAATAATGAGTGCAGTATTTACAATGATGAGATAATTTTATATTCACGACACGTATACCTAATTTAGTCATACGCTATCTCTTTTTTCATAACTTAGAATAAAGTTACGCAGGTAATAAAAAATCGCCTTAAATCCGCGCCAAATAGTGTATTGGTGTAATAGTGCATTTAGATAAATTAGAAAATAAAAATTAGAAAAATAAAATGTTATGCACTTAAAGTTGGCGGATACTGTAAGTAAGCTGGAGGTTTCATTTTTTTATGTAATAGTTCGGTAGACGAGCGGACGGATTACCTGATGGTAAGCAATAGGCGCCGCCCATGGACACCCGCAATGCTGGAGTTGCGAGTGCGTTGCCGACCTTTTAGGGATTAGGGATTTGGAAATTTAGGGATTGAGAAGGTATTGGGGGAGGGGAAGGATTGGGCCACAGGTAACCTCACTCACAAGGTGAAACACAACGCTGTGGTTGTTTCACGCCAGTTTTCTGAGAGGCCGTGGTATCACTCCGGTTGATCCGACCCATTCGTGCCGAAGCCTACCAGCGCTCAGTTCTGTTACTTTCCCTGGTGTTAAATGAACGAACTACTGCCTAACCAATACAATATTACCGCCATGGAAAAACTACATTGAATTACTATTTAAACACACTTATGATATATTCAAACTAACTTACAGATTCCTCAGGTTACGTAAAGGAAACTTAACAGTATCTTCTTAACTGAGATTATTAAAAAGACATTTTTATTTTATTTTAACCACCATAAGCTATATTTTTTAATATAGATCTAATAAAGAAGATTTATACCAAACGGTGAATTTAAAACCCTTACTCAAATAGTAACAGTATTATTATTATACCTTAAATTAAGAACTAGACTAAGAATTGAATGATATAGAAGTAATTTTAATGTTTGTATTCCAAAATGATAGGTTAGCAGTAAAAAAAATCCTAATTAAAATTTAAATAAGTCTAAATAAACATAAACTTTGGTCTATCTATTAAAAATAAAATAAGACGAAATGTTTTTTACATAAAATTAACAACTAAACCATATACATACAATTCTTAGAGAAAAAAGCATATTATATTAAGACCATAACGTTTCGAAAAAATAAACTAAATAAAAAATAATATGTACATTATGTCTTTAGAGTCGTATAAGGATGTATACAGAAATACGATTTTTTGAGACGCGTAGTCACGGATCCGATGCGACGTAAAATTCATTTTATGTCACAGTCGCAGGATCACCTCAGAAAAAGGAGCACTTTGCAAACGGAAAAGCCCATTTACATATAAAATGTGGTTGAGTAGGTACGTATTCTCATAGCTATGAATACGCACGTTTGCTAAGGAAACTGTTTGAGTAAGTTTTGTTGTAACCAATAAAGTTTGATACCTAACGATATTACTTAGACAAAGAACGCCAATTTATAACTGTTAAGTTATAAGCATTCGAACATTATATCGATACAGAACATTATTTACATAGTTAACTACTCATAACAGAAGTAAAGGAGATGAAAGTCGTAAGAACGCAAGTTCACCTTAAAAAAGGAGCTTGCAAAGAGAATATAAAAATAAGAAAGACATTAAAACCTTGTGCGGATGTCGTGGTAGCGGCTAAGATCCGAGGGTGCCGGATGCCGCGCAGATGCTAAAGAAACCAGATTTTTTACAACATAAAAGAAAGTAACACCAAATGCCTATACTAAAAAGGATTAAGTTCATAAGAAGCCGCATACCGAGATATTTGGAAAAACGAAAATAAACTAGGGATCGGATTCGCGATGAAAACGGAAGACTGATCGTTCCGATATCAAAATAACACCCACTTCAGAATGTCTGCTACATCAAAGCCGATCTGTGTACGACACTAATTTGAATACCCATCCACTTCGAATTTCCAAAAAAAGAAACCCTTTTTAAGTTGAAATATTAATCAATTGTAGTCGCAGGATAATGAACGTCCATGGTAGTTTCGCAAAATGAAATAACAACACGTGTATGAAAACAATAGTGTCGTTAAAACAAATAAGGTCATATATAAAACAAAATCGTATATTTGGGAATACAATCGATAATACTATTTACCAATTTCGAAACTGTGAGTAAGAATAAAATAAAACGTCATCTGAGATGTGGTACATTTCCCAGTGATATATCGGGTACGAAATATAAAAAATAAGGTTGCGAGAAGGAGGAAATACGACCTAAACCGGGAACTCTCCCCGGAATGAGCTTGTGGAGCTTGTCTATGAAAAGTTATAATCTGAGATACCTACTCCCGCCCAAGAGGTAGTTTGGTTTATAAAACTTTTTCAGTTTTTCTGAAGTGTCATTGAGCCAAGCCGGCACATGAAGGACGTCGACGCAGGGGTCCCAGTGTAAAATATTTCGAATAAACGTCGAATATTTTACCGAAGTTACGAAGTTACGCATAATATAAATAAATTGTCTGCGTATTCCAGTGAGCGCACCTGCTGGTGTACTTACATCCGATGTTAGTCAGCCAGAAAACTATATTGCAAACATTTTATACTTATGTTCGTTTCCATTGTTGAATACCTGACAGCTTTGTATGGGTTTCATTAATTGGCTAACATGGTTTAGTTCGCATATACGAAATATAAAATTCGAACTATTTTAAAATAAAAATAAACATGCCTAATCGTAGTGGAACAGAATTGAAGATGATTCGAAACTTAACTAGCGTCCAGTTAACTAATAATAAAAGGGAAAAATAAGAAGACCCAGGTCTTGATAATACTCCATAGAATATACAATGGTCACAGTCCTAAATAATTCAGATGGTGCTGTGAACCGTAGAATTACTATGTTTACTGTATAAGCAAATGTCAGCAGCATCTTATACAGCGCAGTCGTTCGCATTCAGATTCTTATTTACGACAAGACATAAAAGCACGTGTTTTTTGACGGGGTCTTACACAACTATGTGTCAGTTAAATATGATACTCATATCACTCAAAATAGAAATTATTTTTGTTCAACATTGATTTTTTGTTTTACCGTATCGATTGAATGATTTGAGGCTATTGTCGCATTGGTCATGTAATAAATCTACAGAGGTGAGCTGAGAGATTTTATGACAGCAATAGATTACATAAACGACTCGGTCTGTTATTGAAACTCCCTAATCGTCAACTCGATACAACCAACAATGGGACGTGATCCCAACGCATTGTCGCTACAGAATAGGAAGGATTTACCAAGATTCTGAATAAAACAAGCTACCATCTCGACTCAGCCGAGTAAATGCTTTTGTAGTCACATCGTACGAGCGCCTGTGGGCTAAACGCAGAATAAACTTTTGAGCTCCTGTTTAGTTATGGGTATATGACTTCATTAAAATTTGTTCACCAGCAGTCCATCGCTTTGTGGTTTCATCTTCGGGTCTGTCTTAATTAGTAAACTTCTTAATGCAAGAAATCAAGATAAAACTACTTCTTGAACTCGTTTTAAATAACCTAAGCTAATTTTATCATTTGTATAATTTGGTTGTTTACATATACACGTTTAAAATAAAATTATACAT